GCCTGAGATGGTGCGGCCACTGCTGCAGAAGTGGTCTACCGACTGGACAGAGGCAGTGGGAGCCACCGATGTCATCAAATATCACATAGTGATGACAGATGAGCTTCCAAGGAGGCGCAGAGCTTATAGAGGGTCACCTCAAAAACAAGCCATCATTGAGGCAGAATTGGAAAAAATGTTGCAAAACAGCATAATCGAGCCATCAAATTCCTCATGGGCTGCACCAATGGTATTAGTGCTGCGGAAAGACGGTACGCTACGCTTTTGTGTGGATTTTCGAGGACTAAATGCAAAGACTCTTCGTGATGCATATCCAAATGCCACTAGTACATGAGATTTTAGAATCTCTTCGAGGAGCTCAATATTTTAGTACCTTGGACCCTAAGAGTGGTTATTGACAGGTTGGCATGGCCAAAGATAGTAAACTGAAAACCGCTATGATTACTCACTGAGGGTTGTTTCAGTTCAAAGTGATGCCTTTAGAAATGCTGGGGCCACTTTCCAACGTCTGATGGAGACTGTTCTTCGTGAACTTAAGGGAAGAAACTGCTTCGTATATATAGACGACATAATAGTATTTTCCAACACAGCAGAACAAAATCTACAGCATCTGGAGGCCGTGTTAAAAAAGCTACAGTACATGATGCTCATCTCACCTTAAATGTAAAGAAATGCTGTCTGCTTCAGCCCCACCTTAGATTTCTGGGCCATATCGTCTCTGGAAAAGGAGTGGAGGTGGACCCAAGTAAAATTGAGGCCATCTCTCAGTACCCACCACCTACTGACTTAAAGAGCTTGCAGAGATTTCTCGGCTTAGTGGGGTGGCACCACAAGTTCATACCCAGGTTGGCAGACCTTGCTGCTCCACTAAACAATCTGAAAAAAAGGAGGTACCATGGATGTGGACGACAGAGTGTCAAGTCTCTTTTGAATGCCTCAAAGCTCTGGTACAATCTCCCCCAATCCTTTCTCAGCCACAACTACACCTTAGTTTCCTGGTTCATTATGAAGCCGTTTTGATGCAGATGGTGGAGGGAGAGGAGAAAGCCATCACATTCGCCTCTAGAGCGCTCCATGGGGCTGAACTCCATTATTCCACTTCTGAAAAAGAGTGTCTGGTGGTCGTCTGGGCAGTTGAAAAATGGCGCCACTACCTAGAAGGAGTAATCTTTGATGTATTTACCGATCATGCTGCACTAGCTTGGGTGTTTAACTGTCTAAAGACCTCTTCCCGGCTCACAAGGTGGACACTAAGGCTGCAAGCATTCACCTTTCGGGTACACTACAAAAAGGGGTGCTGTAATGCTGTTCCTGATGCGATGTCCCGTTCACCACCCACACTAGAAGGAATTGCCAGTGTGGCTGTGGCAAAAGGCTATTGGTTAGACCTTCCCAGCTCACTACAAGAGATTGAAATCGCCCAGAAGTCCGATACATTTTGTATAGAGGTTGGTCAAACGGTTTCTCTTCCAACGCCAGGCCTCTTGCATTATGTGTACCAGCAAGGTGTTCTATACCGATGCGTTCCATCTAAATTTGATGGGTTCAACTATCAACTGGTGGTCCCAGCTGAGCTGACAGGAAAGTTCCTTACCTACTACCATAACAGTCTTGTGGGGGGACATCTTGGAAGGTTTAAAACCCTGTTAAAGATAATGGATGTAGCCTGGTGGCCAACGATAAGGAAAAATGTGTAGGGACATGTCCGAGCCTGCCAAATATGCCAAAAATATAAAATTTCAAATGAGAAGCCTGCCAGTCACTTCCAATCACCAGACATCGGCGCACCATGAGAGATGCTGGGTATAGACTTCATGGGTCCATTTCTTCCTAGTGGGACAAGGAACACTATATTGATGGTCGTGGTGGATTATTACTCTAAACGGGTGGAACTTTTCCCGCTGTGAGACGCCAAGACCCCAAAAGTCTGTCACATCCTCAGGAACGACATATTTACCCGGTGGGGAGTGCCAGCATATTTGGTGTCCGATAGGGGGCCTCAGTGCACAAGTCACCTGTTAGCTGACCACTGCCTATCACCCTCAAACCAACCTCATATATATATA